CACACACACACACACATGCTCAAGCATACTAAGCGTTGGCTCCATTTCCATTTCAAAGGCACTTGCCTTGTATATGCACCACGGGGACGGAGTTGAGGAGGCCATTTCAAAGGCATTTGCCTCAGTCAACTCGAGCTCCACAGGGCGTATTGGGCTGCAGGTTGGAGGGAGAGTGAGAGCACACACACACGCTCACTCAACTTGACACAGACTCGACACGACTCGACAGACACAGACATGAAAGTGGAAAAAGTCGCGAAGTTGCAGTCTTGAATTCCCAAACACAATGTCGAAGCAAAGTCGCACTGAACACAAGCACTGAGGCTGAAAACTAGGTGCCCGTACTGGGCTTGAGTCCGGACATAAGTACCGGACTCAGGTACGGTCCTGAGGGCGAAAGTGAAAATGCTTCAGGGCCAATACTGGAAATCGAAAGTCTGAGAGTGGGCGCCAGAATGTCGGATAACACCAAGTGTGCAAAATCCGAAAGTCCCAAGAGAAGGAATTTTGAAAACGGGCGCCAGAATGCAGATGGTGCCAACTGTCTGAAATCGGAAGAGCAAAAACAAATAAAACAAGAAAATTGTAAAAACAACAAAAAGGGATAAATACAGCAAGCTGGCGGGTGGGAACCCGCAGACCGGGATCGAGCCCTGGCGGAGTCCGTAACACTATCCACTCCCTCTATCTAAAAACAAAAAAAAAAGGAATAAATACAGCAAGCCGGCGGGTGGTAACCCACAGACCAGGGATCGAGCCCTGGCGGAGTCCGTAACACTATCCACTCCATCTAGAAGGCAACGTCCCAGCTTCCAAAAGTCATGAAAAAAATGCTGAATCCTGTGAAGGACGGGACGGGGCCGATCACTGGGAGGCAGGAAGAAAAAGGGAGAGGGGTATAATGTGGGTAGCAAGGGCTGGGGGAAACAGGGTTTGCCTACCGGTGAGCTACGGGATATGCGTACTGATGGATTACTGAGAGGGAACAGAGTTTGCCTACTAATGAACTTCAGGGTTAGGAACTGCAGGGGAACAGGGTTGTCCTACTGATGGACTACAGGGTTATGATCTGAGGGGGGAACAGGGTTGTTGTACTGATGAACTATAGGGTGAAAGGTTTCTGTAAGCAAAAATAAAGAAAGGAAAATTATTTTGCATTGTCCGGGGGTTGAGGTTTCTGAGGATCTCAAAGAGAAAGGGGTTGGGGGGGAAATCGCAGGTTCTGCAGGATGGTCTGGGTGAGAGTCTCGAAGCAGGTCTTGAAGTAAGCCCTGGTATGGATAGACAGAATGCTGATGATAAACCAGTCTTCAGCAGGCTTGCGATGTGTAGTAGCGATGTTTCCAGCTTGAAAGAAGTGGTGTAGCAGTCCAGTAGATGAAGGTCCAAGTGCCAGGGGGCATCCGGTACATGATCCTGATGATGAAGTCTGATTCGGACAGCAGTTCGCAGACTGACCCTGATGTCCATCTCAAGAGTGCTGCTCCAGAAGTCTGCAACCAGCCAATGGGACAGCATGGTGGCCAACCAGCTGCTTAATCTCCTCGAACTGTGCTGCAGCAGGCCATCGTCCTCGTGCGCTTGCCATTAGTCGCCGGCAATGCGCAGGAGCCACAGGTAAGGCTTGGACAAGAGAGACAAAGGATGTGGCAGAGGACAGATTCGGGAACGAGACGGAGGCAAGAGCGGATCAGACAGAGAGAGGTCGAGGGGCAGGGGTTTTGCTGGGTGCAGGGGGGGGTGTAGAGCATACATGCGGCGCATCAAGATGCGCTGCGCCGCGCAGATGCGCCGCACTGTGCATGGTGCACGATGTGCGCGCACCGCTTGTGGCGCACACCGAAAACAAGGGGTCGTCAAAATAAAAAAAGTTGGGGGGGGGGGGAGGCGTGGGCCCGACTACCACTTACCGCGAACTGGTACCAGCAGCGGCAATTTTTTTTTGAGGCCACGCGTAGGCCCCGAAAAAAATTACCGGGGAGAGCAGTTCAGTTTTGAACTGCTCAGACCTACCCCACGCTGGCCGGTAGTCCACCTTGGTGCCCCACGAATACGTCCTCCTTCGCGGCCACTGTGTGCTGCCCTTGGCGGCCACAGTCGTCATCTTTCCAGCTCCTGTGCGGCACGAAACAGCCCCTGGCATTGTCGTTCAGCCATAGCCAGCAAAGCTGCAGACGGCAGTTCAAAGGAGGCAGCCGGAAGGAGCCGACGGAGGCAGCGTCGTTGTCGTCTTCCCTCCTCCCTCTTTCCCTCATCGGTCTCCTCGTCCATCTTCCCTCTGTCATCGGTCTCCTCCTGCATCTTCCCTCTGTCATCGGTCTCCTCCTGCATCTTCCCTCCTCCCTCCTCCCTCCTCCCTCCCTCCTCCATCAATCTGCCATTTTTTTTTCTCGGAATCCCGAGTACCCTCCCCATCGATCTCCTCATGCTCCTCTTCATGGGACGATGCTTCTGCCCGTGTATATAATCGGGAGATGGACTTGTGATCGACTCTGGACTCTGGAGACTTCATGATGCGCGCAGGGATCAGACTTGTATTACATTATTGATTGGCTTCTCATCAAGACTGGGTTCATTGCATCACTACTGACGCCTTTTCTTTTTTTTCTTTTTTTTGAGGTCCGATTACTTTCCCACCTCCCTACTTTGTCATTGGTCCCCTCCTCCCTTCTCCTTTCCCCCTCCTCCCTCGTCATCGTTATCCTCATATTCCTCCCTACTTTGTCATAGTTCTCCTCCTCCCTCGCTTGTCATCGTGCTCGTCTTCATTCTTCTCTACCCCCACCCTCGTCTTTCCTCCATCCCCCCATCGTCATCGTTCTCCTCCACCCCCAAACCCTGTCGTTATCATTCCCCCTCACCCCCCCCCATCGTCATCGTTCTTCTCTCCGTCGTGTTCATTCCCCCTCACCCGTCCAATGTCATCATTCTCCTCCACCCCCAAACTCCACCACTCCATCACCATCGTTCTCCTGCACCCCCACACTCCAGAGATGGCAGAGGGAGTGAGGATGGATGAATGACGAGAAGGGGGTCTGGTGATAGCGTTGTCGTGTGGAAGATGGTAACGGCTACTTGGAAGATGGCAACTGTAACGGTAAATGGTAATGGCAACTTCGAAGATGGCAACGGTAACTGGTGGAAGATGGTAACGGCAACTTGGAAGATGGCAACGGTAGTCCTCGTGCTCTTCAATAAGTACATGCAGCCCTGGTGACCACGCCCTTCCCCCCCCYCCCCCCCCCCCCTCCCCGCCCCCCCTCCCCCTCACCGGCCCCCAACCCCCCCCCAAATAATACCTGCCCGCACCATGTGCACCGATGCGTGCACCATCCAGCCCAACAGCGCATCGCTGGGCAGCGCAGCGCACTGCGCATAGCGCATTGATGTGCACTGCACTGGCGGAAGCACGGCACACGGTGCGCCGCAGTGCACAGTGCACCGCAACTATGGTGTAGAGCAATGAGGCAGGGTTTATGCAGGGTAGATGGGTGTTATGCGTAGTATATGTCTAGGATACAGGGTGAGCACAATCATAGGCACGAACAAGTTTCATGGCGTTCTTGAGATTATCGAGGGGTTCCCATGTAGATTCTTCATCTGGGTATCTGGTCCATTTGACTCCATTTGACTTTGTATTCAGTGATTGGTTCCGGGTGATCGGATACTTGAGTTGTTCTTCATCCTATGATAGATTCTACCACGAATTCTGGCCCCATAGGTAGCATGATTGGTGGGGGTCTAGGATATGGGTGGTCGGCGAATTGTGGAGGTTATTCATGGTATTCTTTCAAGTACTCGACATGGAAGACAGGGTGAACGCGGCTCATGTCAGGGGGTAGTTGAAGTTTGTAATTTACAGGGGATGTTTGTTCAATGACGGGGAAAGGACCGAGCCACTTGTTTGAGAGCTTCTTGGACAAGCCGTGTTCGGGTTCAAAGTGTTTGGCAGAGAGCCAGCCTTTGCCCCCTACTTTGAATGTGATATCTCATCTGAGCTTGTTGGTCTTGTTGGCTTGTTGTTGTTGGGTTCTTTCAAGGGCATCAGTGGCTTCTCCGAGGAGGCGGTTCACTGTTGCAACCCATTCATTGAGAGAAGGATAGGGAGTGGATGGGTTGAGCTGCGAGGGGAGCAAGAAGTCTGAGGGCAAGCGGGGATGGTAGCCAAGGTCAAGGTAGTATGGGGACATGCCAGTGGAAGGGCAGACAGCGTTGTTGTAGGCAATCTTGGCGGCGGTGATCAACTGATCTGAGTCGTGCTGGTGTGGATGACAATACTTCTGCAGGATCCTTTGGAGAGTACCATTCATCTTTTCAGTTTAGCCATCGGTCTTTGGATGGAATGCAGCGTTGTACTTGAGAGTGGTGCCGTCAGCTTTGAACAGGCTTTGAACAGGTTTTTCTACAATTTTTCTACAATTG